TATCATCTTCATCATATAGATCACAATCACTCTCAACAAGCTCATCAGAAAACTCTGAGTCTGAACCAAAAGATTGGAGTTCAAAATCACTATCAGAGTCACTATCAGATTGGACTTCCAAATCATCACCCATATCATCAACATTCTTTTCCCCCAATTGTCAATTATATCATCTAACTCATCCCTACGATCCCCCACAAAAGGCAAAGGTTCATCAGCAGAAGGCAAATCATCAGAAGCTTGACTAGCTGTCCCTGTGCCCATGTTTTCCATATGTTCAATGTATAAACCGACCACTCTGTTACTATCAACCCAGTTAATAATATTTATAGCATCCATGTCATTTTGCAACACAAACAAAGACCGACAATCATTTACACCATTCTGCTACAATGCACACACTTAACATCTTTTACCCCGATTTCAGCAGTCATACAAAAGATTTCAATCAATGAGAGCTCATCAGGGTCACAATAGTCAATGTGACTTACCCTCATGTGCTTACCATTGTAACAATTCCCACCAAGTTCCAGAAATTGCCCACCATGATGAAATAAAGTGGTAAACAATTGTGTACTGGGACCTGAAGGAAAAAGAATATTACACAAATCAATATCAAATAAAAATAATGAAAAAAAATACTAAACTAACATATCCTGGACCACATTTCCGACAACAATTCACATTTCCGTATTTTAATCTATTGACTTTCAACAAGTTCAAAAAATTTGTCTCCACATGAGAAATGAGAAGGCATAATCACAAAACATACTACCAATATAAAAGCATTGCGTCAAATTCGACAAGAAAAAAAAAGGTTAGGGTTCAAAAAAAGAAACCGTAATCGGGGCACAGTCTTCCAGGTGGAAGATTCTCATTATCGTCGCGTACCTTCCAGCCCGTCAAGATCGCGATCAGGTTTGATTCATAATTTCTATGTTTAATTCGAAGGAATGTTTGGGATTGGATGTCGGAATTAAAAATGGCAGAGCAAGAACCCTAGGTTTTTTTAGAGATTTGAATTGGGGATTTCTGTTCAACTTTGGAAATTAATGTGCATTTTACTATGTGGGATTCGAACAGTCACATACTTGAAAGGTCGATTTTACCCTCAAGGTTGTAGCGTGCGAGCCGCACGCTCGTTTTTCCAGTGATATATGGACTCCGATGGCCATTAGGTTGCGATTCAGACAAAACGTGTATTACAGGTTAACGTGTATTACAAGTTGCAATTTAAAAATAAAAAAATTTTGGGTTGCAAAAGTCAAAAACGCGTGATTAGTACATGTTGCAAAAGATAAGTTTAAGATATTTAATTATTTACATTATGTTGAGGGCTCGGTCGTGCTGTGCACAACGATGGTCTGCTAGTATATAGATTTAATTATTTACATTAATAAAAAATAAATATAAATATTTATTAAGCTAGTTAATTAATTCGCCAATTTGTTAATTTATGATGTAGATGGACTGCTTGGACTTGAGAGAATGTATGCATTATTTCAATTTTAATTTTATTCTTCCCAAAGAAATCAAAAAGGAAATCTTTTGGCAAAGATATTTATTTCATCATCGCGATTTTGGAAGCCAAATCTTTTGATAGAGATATTCCCATCATGCGGTCCCTGCTACTGCAACTCTCTTCCAATTCGCTTTCTCCCTTCTCCTTCACACCCTAACTTCCCCCAATTATCTTGTGTTTGAGGTAAAGATTTGCTCGTTGATTTTTTTTTTCTTTAATTTACCCTACTCGTGGCTGCAAGAGCACATAGTCTCGACTGACAAAGTCCTGCCTGGAAATGAACCCAGAACCTCGACATGGGTGAGAATGCCACGTGCAAAAAGGCCGATTTGTGGCTGACCCTCGGCCATCATGTGAAACTAACGGTGCCTCTAGAGATCCTAATCGACCAACTGATAGGAAAAATAAAATGGTGGTTTTTATCAAGGGTTCGAGGGAGGCCCCACAGTACGGGTTTTTTGCAGAGTGGTGGTCATCCTCGAGAGCGAAGGAGTGGACTACGAGTGTGTGGATGTGTTGGACGACTAACATGACCACATGCTGAAGAAGAATGAAGAAGTTTGGCAACTGGATAACGTTCCCTCATGTTTCCTTGACAGATCTATACAGATATGGTATATTTAATGACGAATCTTTTATTTATGATTTTAAATGTATGACTTTTTCTTTATTATTATTTCTCATTATTTTCTAATTACAAAAGATAATTTTAAGATATTTATTTATTTACATTATGCTGAAGGCTCGACCGTGCTCTGCACAACGATGGTCTGTCAGTATAGATATTGAATTATTTACATTAATAAAAAATAAACATAAATATATATTAAATTAGTTAATTAATCCGCCAATTTGTTAATTTATGATGTAGATGGACCTGTTCCGGCTCGAGAGAACGTATGCATTATTTTAATTTTAATTTTAATTTTAATTTTAATTTTAATTTTCTTCTTTCCAAAGAAATCGGAAAGGAAATCTTTTGGCAAAGATATTTATTTGACGAATTTGGTAACCAAATCTGTTAGAGATATTACTATCAGGGGAGTCCCTGTTACTACAAACTCTCTCCTACTTCAGCCTTCTCCCTTCTCCTTCACACACGTCACGCTATCTTGTGTTTGAGGTAAAAATTTGCTTGTTGGTTTTTAATTTTACCCTACTCTTTGCAGTTATCGCGTTTCGTTATTATTATTTTTATTTTTATTTTTTAATTCCTATTTTTCTGGGTCAGTTGTCTGTTCATGTTAGGACACTATTACATACATAAACGGCTCAAAATATGTCTATCAAAGCTTACTTTTTTTTTTTTTTTTTTTTTTTT